AGGAGTGGCTGGTGGGTTTGAACCGCCAGCCTTCTGGTGAGCAGTCAAGTGCCTTAGGCACTATGCTACCAGAGCTCCTAAATAACCCTTATAAAAATAAAATTTATATTAATGCAGTTTTAGAGAATTAGGTAAAATTATAATTCATGAAAAGAAAATATTATTCACCTACTTCTCAAAAAGAAGCATTTTGTGATAGAAACTGATTTGGAAAAAATATTAATTTGGCTTTAAAGTACTAAGAGTAAAAAAACAAATGTTTTTAATACATTTAAATTTATATTAAGCAAAAGTACTTGTAAATCACTGAAGTAAAACAAAAACTACTGCTTACCTTCCTTTTTCGGGTAGAAGTTCCTGGCACATCAGCATCTTTCTCTTCTTCCTTCGAAGCAAGAATTTATCATGATCATAAAACATTCCAGATTTCACTATACTCTTTTAGTTATTTAGTTAAAACTAAGCTAATAAAAAAATTCTGCACACTATTTTTTGGAGGAAAAAAAGTCAACTATAGCATTAGAATAAAATAACTTTCATTTTTACCTGAAAACTACAATGTGTACATTTCTTTTGATATACAGAATACCAATTTAGCAATCTTAAGGAAATACTAAATACCTCAGAGTCAGACAAGACTTTCTTCTTCATTGAATTGTAGAGTGGAATTATATTATAACAAGTTTGATCTCTAAATAAGAAGAAAGAAGTATTAGTATATAAGATTAGAACTATGTGATAATTTTTTTCTTTACAAACTATTTACTAAAATCAGATCTTAAGATAAAACTTGAAGCTGAAGGCTTTCTATCAGTTGACTCCAATACCTTGTGTACACATATTTGATTCTATCTCCCCCAGTAGCAGTTTCCACTGTAACCCGATTAGTTCATTACTCCAAACCCAGTTCTCACTTCCCAGTCTGTTCAGGTCACTATTATGCCTGAGATCCCATCTTCCAGTTTTTGGTCTAGCTATCCTGTAATATAAAGCTAATATACCTCCCTTAATTAAGCATTTTTTGACTAATCCAGAGTCCACAGGATCCTCCTTCTCTGCAGAATCCAACAGCACTTTAAAATGTATCAGGGCTCTATGGTTTTTTTTTTTTTAAACTAAACTCTACACAGTATTTCCCTACCTCCTCAAACTGAATGATCTTTGTCTCTGATTCAATCTAGCCCCCACCACCATGTCCATCACTTGGATTGGAAATCACATTCCTGATTTTTTTCCCCTCAACTCTCATATTCCTTTAGAACCAGTTCTAGTTTCACTGTTATTTCTAATTCCTTCATTTTTTATCTAGTCTTATGATTTCCTAGCCTGACCGTCTATTTATAACCATATCAACAATATACCTATAATCCCTTAGTTTTTAAAACTTACTTGAAAAAACAGTATAGTATGAGAAAGAGTATCAATGATTGTATTATCAGCTACATGTACTTAGTGTTCTCAATCTATCAGGTATATATGATAATTACTTTATACTGATTTCATTTAGTCCTCACAGCAATCATATTAGGTACACACTATTATTTAGCCCTATTTTACAAAATATATCCAAATGCTGTCTTCCCTTCCTACTCTCTCCATTCTAGTACTCTATTATTCTAGTTTTCTATGACACTGCCCTTTTGCAATGCCCAATTCTAGGTAATCTGTTTCATCAGTCTGATGCACTTGTTTATTCTAGTGAAGCTAGTTGGTTCCTCAACTTCTTCACTGTGAAACAACTGATGTTCTCCTATCTTTTCCCAAGTAATGTGTCTCAAGGTTATACAGCTACAATTCCAAACCTGGTCCACCCTCTGGCCTGATTTTCAACCTTTGATGACGGTCTTGATTTCCCTTTTCTCAGAAAACTGAAGTCTCCCAATTTGAGCTGCTTCAATTTAGATTCTTTCTATCTCAATATTCATTACTCTTTACCTATTTCTTTTCTTTACCTCCTGCCCCTTCCTCTTCCTTTACTCCAGTACATACACTATTTTCTCTAGAACTTTAATTCCAATGCTCTTCCTTTAGCCTCTACAAACTTGACCTTTCTAAAGAGAAAAGCTAAATGTGCTGCTGCTAACCTAAATGTTGGCTGTTCAAATCTAACCACCTGCTTTGTAGGAGAAAGAGTATGCTACCATGAAGCCTAAAAAATCCTACAGGGCAGTTCTACTCCTTCACATGGGTTTGCTATGAATCAGAATCAACTTGATAGCACCCAACCACACTACCTATAACCTTGATAACCACTTAATTGAGACTTGTTTTCCTTCACATACACAAAAATATTACAAAACACTATCCTATACTGACAAATTTTGTTTCTCATTACTCTCGTGAAACTGTTCTCCTCAAGATCATTAATTATCTCCTGTTTACCAAATCTAATGGTATTTTCTTATATATTTAAATTCCTTTTTTCCAGCTCCATTTGATTCCACTCACTAGTCTTCCTTGACCCTAATCTCCCTTTTCCTTCTTCCAAGTTTCTTCATCTGTCTTATTTCTTCTTCCTTTCATTCTTAAATGAAGGCATTCCCTAAAATTTTGTACAGTCAATACGATACCCTTTGCCCTGCTAATTTTGTATGTTCTCTGTCCACATGTAAATGAATTCCAAAGTCCTATAACTTCTCCCAAGGAGCTCTGGTGGTGCAATTGTTAAAAGCATTCAGCTACCAACCAAAAGGTTGATGGTCTGAGTCTACCAGCTGCTCCATGGTATAACAAACATTATCAATGACTTATTATCAGCTACATGTTCTAAGTGTTCTCAGTCTATCAGTAATATGATTCTATAATTTATACTGATTTCATTCAGTCCTCACAGCAATCATATTAGGTATATACTATTATTTAACCCTATCCACTCCTCGGAAGGAAGGTTGGGCAATCCTACTTCCGTAGTGATACTGCCTCGGAAACCCAAGGAGGGGTCGCTATGAGTCGGGTTTGACTCTATGACACATAACAACAACAACATACTATTATTTAACCCTATTTTACGAAATATATCCAAATCCAAATGTATTTTACAAAAATATATACAAAATATAATCCAAATATATGCAAATGGATATATTTTATAAGATATATCCAAATCTAAAATATACTCATATAGTAATATATACTATTATTTAGCCCTATTTCACAAAATATAACCAAATTATCTGTGTTCCTAGTCTGTTTTTGTATAGATTTAGTCTCAGAAATCTTATGGGGCATTTCTCTGTTGTACAGTTGCTATGAGTCAGAATCAACTTGATGGCATTAGGCTTTTTGGATTTATAACTTCACATAATTATCCTCCTGAGCTTTCTACTACCAGCTAAAATTCCACACGTCTAAGCCTGACAATCCCTAGATACTCTGATTCTTTCCTTCCTTCCTTCATTCATTCATTAAACCATTCTCAGAGCAATGAAAATCTTGGTCTTTCACTATTCTCTTTTTCTCCATTTTAATAAACCCTATACTCTCTTGGCACCTACCCTTTCTAACATCCATAAATTAGCCTTTATCACTTTTGTTTAAGTGCAATAACCAATATACTATGTATGCTTTTTGTCTTTTCCCTATCAATTAATATTAAATACTGAAAAAAGATTAGTATTTTTAAGGCATAGTGTATACTATGTTGTTCTCACAGTAAAATACTTTCAACAGCCCTTTGCTTCCAGCTCACGTATTAACAGAGTCCCATTCCTTAGGCAGGCACTTAAGGTTCTCTATGATGTAGCCTACGCTCAAGTTTACAGTGTTGTATCGCCATTACCTTTCACTCATATACTCCCTACCTTTCCTTTAACAGCACTTTCTTGCTTCATGACATAACATTCCTTATCCTTGCAATGACTTCTTTTTCATCTAAATTTTCCTGAATCCTTCAGTATCTACCGTGCCTATGAAGACTAATAGGATTCTCTCCCCATCTTAGTGAGAACTGCCCCAATCCTCATCTAAACTTTAATACAAACTTTCTTGTTACTTATCACAGCCTTCCTTATATTACAGATTTCATTTTTCTCAATAAATTGTATGAAAATAATACAAATATTATGTTTATCTATCTCAAAGTATCTATTGTTATTGCTGTTGTCATATGCTGTCGAGTCAGACTCGACTCATAGCGACCCCTCCTTGGGTTTCCGAGGCAGTATCACTACGGAAGTAGATTGCCCCATCTTCCTTCCGAGAAGTGGCTGGTGGGTTTGAACTGCCAGCCTTCTGGTTAGCAGTTAAGTGCTTTAGGCACTATGCTACCAGAGCTCCTGTATCTACTACATCATGTTATATATATTTACTGCCTGGAATCTTGCAGAGTAACAAAAAGTAAATAATGAAAACTTGAAGACATAACATCTTCAAAATTACTGTCAGCTAAAATAACTCTGAACAATTTATATACATCTGAAAAATACCAAATGGACTTATGTTCAGATATACACAATATGATTGCTTTAAATATTAATCTGCTGTCAAGGCATTTCAAAATAATTATCTCACTAAAATGTGAATTTACTATATTACAATTCTGATATCTTTTAAAAAATGGAAATATATATGTATAACCCTATAAAATTAGACTAAACTATATAGTTAAAATATTATAAGCTATTGCAACCAAGTTATATAAACAATCATCAGAGGATACTTAATGCCTGATATCAATTTTACTGAAGACACTTTACAAAAACATAGTAATAATAGCCCCAACACCATTTGGATGACACCAGACTTCTTTAGAAAATGAAGAGGAGGAAGAGTATCTTCCTGATTTTGTTTGGTGCTATATCTTATATTGAAATTACTTCCATTTCTTAACAAAAACACCAACTTATACCAGGAAAAGGGATCATAAGATTATGCTATGGGATAAGTGTGAAACTAGAGATGGTTTTAAAAAAATAAGCTCTGAAAAATCTATGTAAAAATGAAAGCTGAGTATTCAAGATTAAATTATAAAACACTCTGTTTTCTCTTCTTACCAGAAAAAAATTAACTAATATAATTAACATTAATATGGACTCAAAGCAGTATTTTGTACAAAATATGATTGATCTTGCTGGCTTCAGTGCATTCTATGGCTACATAAAATCTAAGAGGCAAGTAAAAGGGCAGCTGCTTTAATAAGTAGTAGTTATCACTCTTAGGGGATCAAGGTATGAGGAAGTAAACCAGATTCCGAGGAAGGAGGATCCTGAAAATTAAATTCAGTTTCCTGCTGACCTACTTAAGAACTAATCTATAAACCTGGACAGTGGTAGTACATTATTAAGATGAGAGATTCTCAACTCAGAAAGCAAACACTCATTTACTATGTAGCCTCAGACAATTTAAACTCTATAAGCATCAGTTTCTGCAAACGTAAATTGAAGATAATTGCTTCTCCCATTCATGAAATTATGTGGTTTATAAGACCTAATTTGTATAAAACAGTACATATTAATAAATGTTAACTATTATTATTGTTATTGACCAATATAAAACTTTTAATGAATAAATAAAAATTTCACGACAGTAATGATTTCATAACTAACATTAGTCAAATAACTTTTACTGCTTTAAATGTAGACATTATATATTTCTATTTTAAGGGAAAGGAGTTCTGGTGGTGCAGAGGTTAAGCACTCAGCTGCTCACCAAAAGGCAAGCAGCTTGAACCTATCAGCTGTTCATGAGAGAAATATGAGGCAGTCTGCTTCTGTTAAGATTTACAACTTTGGCAACTCTATGGGGTAGTTCTACTCTGGCCTACAGGGTCATTATGAGTTGGAATCAACTCCATGACAGTGGGTCTGGTTTTGGCTATTTTAAGTAGAACTGTGTTTATGCGAAAGCATACATTTTATATTATTTTACATTTAAAAACATTGCTAGTAATTATGATATCAATAAAACTCCTCAAAAAACTCACTTTATAAAATGTAGAAGAAGATCAGTGACAAATTTAGCAGATTTCACAATAGGGCTTCCAGGCTCATTGAATGTTCGGGTATTATGTTCTATATATCGCACCTCCCACATTAGGGAAGAAACCCGCCTTTAAAGGAAATAAAATATAGAAGTCTTAATCTCATTATAATTACCAATACATGCATAAAATTTAAAATTGAGACACTCTGACTTTTTAAATTTTCTGAAATCAATCACAAACCTCACCATATACAGCTATTTTCAAAACAGTATGACCTATTTGTGTTAAGGACAAAAAGTACAGCAACATTAGCTATGTATTTGCATAGTAAGTGTCTGGAATAAGAAACACTAGATTATTTACAGTGCCTTTTTCTGGGATAAGAAAATGTCTATGGGAGGAGTGGCAGGAGAAGAAAAATGGAAGACCTTTTAGTTTCTGCTTTACATATTTCTGTATGTATGTATCATTCTGTGCTAATATACATATATGACATTTATACAAAAAGAAACAGTTTTAATCAAATTATAATTCCACTTGTCTAAGGACATGTAAAAAATGAATAGTTAATAGGCTGCTTATGAGATAAAACATAAAAACATGCTGAGCATATGTTACTTTACCAAGAAATCGAGCTACATAAAATTATTTTCTAAACACCAAATTTGTAATACTAAAATAATTTGGTTTTACTTCTGCAAGAAAAGAAAAATCCAAATCCAGCGTCCAAGAATATCACTCAGCATATGGCTCCATTTGAAATAATGAAGAATGAAACACTCAGAAAATCTTGTTTGTGAACAGAACTACAATTATATATGAATTTAAAAAAAAATCCAGGTATAATTCTGGGTATGGAAGCACACAGAAAAGCTTCTGGTCATTTAAAAAGCTCATTCTCATAGAAATGAATGATAGGTATCTTCAGGTTATTATTCCAAATGCCATGTATAAAATAAAGCATTAGATTAATAGCGGCAGGGCAAATTGACAATAGCACTTCAACAAGAGACTGAACTAAGTGGAAAAGAAAAACCAAAGTGTAAGAAGTGTGAAGTCAATGAGTAGGAGGAAGCAAAACAATTTAAACAAAAAAAAAAAATTTTAAACAGTATTACAGCAAATGAAGATATCATTTTATTAAATAAGAACAATTTAGGTTCATAAGTATATTCATTTGGAAAACAATTTCTAATTCATATATGTATTTTTTCGCAAACTTTTTTCATAAATTGGTTACAAGTTAGGCTACTGCTAAAAAGTCTATTTAAGCTATAATACATCTTGAAATACAGCACACCCTAGCAATCATCAGTGTGTCTGCAAGAAAGCATATTTACCACAATAGCGGGAGATAACAGCTCATATCTGTAACTGTGCTGTATAAAAACTATTCTTTCTCTCTCCTACTCCATGACTTCCTCCATCTCTGAAGCACGCCAGCATAACTCTTAAAGTTTAGTATTTTCATGATGTCAAGAGAAAAAGTGATATAGGTAAGAGTTCCTGCTTTTCTGCTTCTAACACATGGTCTTGAAACAGATTTAAAATATACTTCTAGGTTAGAATAAGGAGGAAGCATAGGTGACTCCCTACTTGTTTCTGTTTTTAACAAATATCAGTGATGTTAATAAGCAGGTATACCTAACAAGATCAAAGTAATCATCAGAATCTGAAGTCTAAGATCTTAGCTTTCTTTATTGCAGTAGTTCTCAACCAACGGAGATTTTGCCCCCACCCACCACCCCCAAGACACTTGGTAATGTCTGGGGACATTTCTGTTTGTCACAACTATGGGGCTGCTACTGGTATCTAGTGAATAGAGGCCAGAGATGCTCCTGAGGACAGCTGCTCACAACAAAGAACTTTCTGGCCTCAAATGTCAGTAATGCTGCTGCTGAGAAACCCTGCTTTGATCAATGAAGAATAAAAATAATGTTTTCAGTGTCAGGTACACAAACTACCATATTATAATTATAATTTAAGTAATAAAAAGAGCTACAGGAACATTTTATATAGGGGGAGAAAAAAGTATAAAATGAGTGGAAAATTCCCCTAGGTTAAGCAAAGTTTTAACGTAGTATTATTTAAAATGCTCACCTGCTATACAAAAGTCATAAGAAAAATGAAAACTGAAAGTATAGTTTCATTAAGTACAGACTGTAGATGTAAATTCACTTTTGACCAAACATTTAAAAAATAACCTATAAAACTTGTCCAAGACACTGGGAGGAGGTAACTATGGGGAGGAAGTGGGAGGGGAGCTGCTGCATTGTAAATTTTGGTCAATGACATGAGACAAAGTATTATGTGAACTGCTGTATGAAAAGTGAATTTACTCTGTAAATGTTCACCCAAATCCTAATTAAAAAAAAACAAACAAACAAACAAAAAAAACTTGTCCAAGAGAACTCCATGTTTAAACACCGTGGAGCAGAAGAAAATGTAAATTAACTGAAATTATGTCTACTTTTTAATAACTATTTATATTTTAAGCTAAAATTGCAACTATGAAAAATGTTCTGAATTTTTCTAATTACTAAAAAGAATGTCAATTTTCATTAAGTATTCCCTAAGATGTATAATAAAAGTAAAATAAAATAGATGTTTGCTGATATTATGAGAAAAATTCATGAATAAACAAATGTTTTAATGTGTTATCTAGAAGAAAACTGAATGCTTTAACTTGCTTTGTAAAATATAATTTGAAGACAGCATCAAATCATATTTGTAGCTATCCAGGAATCATATTCCAAGTGGGGTCTATAGACCAGCATCACTGGAAACTTGTTGGAAATGCAGACTCTCTCAGGTCCCACTCCAAAACTACTGAATCAGAGTCTACATTTTAATAAGATCCAAGGCAACTCAGAGGCATACTAAAATTTGAGAAACTGCTAAAGACGAACAGTAAATGGGTGAAAGGATCACTTCATTTTTCTTTGGTAGTAGCTACATTAACTGGTTCTAACCTGTAAAACCTGTTTTCCAGTCTCTGTTTAATTGTACTCAGATCCGTTGGATATGCCACTACAGTACAGTACATGGGATAGGCTTGCAGATCCACAGGGGCCACAAATGCAGAAGCAATATCTAAAATAAACAAATGAATGAGTAAATTTTTTAAATGGTTAATTAAAAAAGAATTTAGTTAGAATTAAGATCTAGTAAGTTCTAATCCATATAACCATTAGTCCGCTCCTGTGTTTTCCAAGAAAATACAGTTTATAGCTGCCATGAAAATAATTCTTTATTATGGCTACATATTTACACTGCAAAATTCTAGGGAGAATTATTGATATTCAGTAGATTCATTAGGAGAAACATATGATAGATAATATATACATACAATCTGTTATGAACATACCACACATATACATACCTGTAGTTAATACCTGGCTATCCCTAAAACTGTATATTATAATGCTTTTGACACAAAGCTATTTTATCAGTTAACACTGTAATAATAAATGGCATCTGTATGTAATCTTTGACTTTCTCAAATTTATCACCTTACTGGATTTTTCCAGTATCAATCTGAGAAATATTAGGCAAGTAGAGAGGAGGAAAACAGGTCCAGAAGTTAAAACAGCTCAGTGGCATACAATAAACTGGTAGAGGGAAAACTATAACCTACTCAGTATCAATTTTTTTTTCTTTTGCTTATTCACATATAGTATAAAATTACTTCATGTCCTAATTACTGCCAAAATTGTATTTCTAAAAAAGGCTATTTTTAGAAAGTGATTACAATTGTATAAAAGAGTTCAAATGAGTTGAGAATATCATCTAATATGTATCTTCAGCTCTTGTTACACACACTAATTTCTCTTAGTAACTGATTTCACTCCTAAATCACCACATTAAACCACTCTAGAGTTACTCCGGAAAACCCAATTTCTGATAATCAAATTTTTTAGTCACCTTTTTTTCCACCCGACAAAGTAAAGTAGTTCATAGAATCCCCTTCTACCACCCTTAAAAAAAATTCTCTTGGTCTCTATATGCACAAAGTTAAGGTGAAAACTAGTGTAACTACCCATCTAATGACAATTCAGCTTTCAATTCCTTCCCCTCCAATTCCCATCATCTAAGTTTAAAATACATCAAGAGTTTTCAAATTGGGTTCTGAAGGACCCAATTTGTCAGTGATAATGCTGGCATTTCTGGGTGGCCCTCATACTGAAACTTAACTAGAGTTACTTCTTTTAAACTGTTTTAGATATCTGAGTTCTTTCTAAGCCTTTATTCAAAAAGACTCCATTTAAAAATAGTTAAAACCACTGACATGGTATTATTAAAAAATTTTGTTTGACTTATTTGCATAAGCTCCTCAAATTATAATTGAGATAATGTAATAGTACTTTTCCTTTCCTGTTTGTTTGCCAGGTTTTTCTATATCTATATGTTGTTGTTATTGTTACTAACCTAATGTCATCAATTGGTTTATTCCTCCAACAATTCTTTCACATTCTTCATCTCTGGGACTGGAACCCCATTCTCCATCAAGAGGTTTATAGATTAATGATCTGCATTCAACATCAGTTAAAGGAACACTGGTACCCAGCTCTTCAGGAAATACAGCTGAAATTCACAGAAAGAAAAGCAGAGACGAAAAATAGGTGGCAAATTATGGATACTTAATTAACCTTCAGAAACAATACAGTCACAAAGCTAAAGTATAATTTTATAAAGATTTGTAAGTTTTTATACTCTTAATTTTTCTTAAAGGTATGTCTCGAGTATCAATAAAATTTAAACATTTTTAAAAGGATATTTACTTTACAAATAAACGTGTACGTAATTTTTTTTTCTTTAAAATGGTACTGAAAACTTGTTCCACCATCAAGTGACAGATGAAGGAGAAAACTTTCCTATAGTATGATGAAAATTTCAAAGTTTTCTGAATCATTATAAAACATGTTGCTGTTGTAGTTAACTGCCGCCGCATTGTTTCCGACTCATAGCGACCCCATGCACAGCAGAAAGAAACACTGTCTGATCCCGCGCCAGCCCCACAATCCCTGCTATACTTGAGTGCATCATCGCAGGCACCGTGTCAATCCATCTTGTTGAAGGCCTCCCCCTCTTCCGTCGACCCTCCATCCTACCAAACATGACATCCTTCTCCAGGGAATGGTCCCTTCTGACAACATGACCAAAATAGGTGAGATGAAGTCTGGCCATTCTTGCTTCCAAGGAGCATTCTGGCTGCACTTCCTCCAGGACAGATCTGTTAGTTCTTTTAGCAGTCCATGGTACTTTCAGCATTCTTCGCCAGCACCGCAACTCAAAAGTATCAACTCTTCTTCAGTCTTCCTTATTCATTGTCCAGCTCTCACATGCATACGAGGCGATTGGAAATATCATGGCTTGTATCAGGTGCACCTTAGTCCTCAAGGAGATATCCTTGCTCCTCAGACCTTGATACATTTCCTTCGCAGTTGACTTTCCCAATGTTACATGTCATCTAATGTCCTGACTGCTGCTTCCGTTGGCGTTGATTGTAGAACCAAGCAATGTGAATTGACAACCTCAATCTTCTATTTATTGTGATGCTGCTCATTGGTCCAGTTGTGAGGATTTTTGTTTTCTTTATATTGAAACATAATCCATACTGCAGACTGTATTCTTCAACCTTCATCAGTAGGTGCCTTAAGTTATTCTCACTTTCAGCAAGCAAAGTTGTATCGTCTGCATATCTCAGGTTGCTAATGATTCTTCCTCCAATCCTGATACCACGTTTTTCTTCATACAGTCCAGCTTCTCGGATTATTTGCTCAGCATATAGATTGAGTAAGTGTGGAGAAAGAATACAACCCTGACACATAAGAGCAGTTGATGGTCTGTTCCACAATCAGCTCCTGGCCTGGTTTTGGCTGAAGATATTGAGCTTTTCCACTGCCTCTTGCCACAGATGTAGTCAATCTGATTCCTGTGTGTTCCATCTGGTGAAGTCCACGTGTACAGCCTCCGTTTGTGTTGCTGAAAAAAGGTGTTTGCAATGAACAAGTCATTGGGCTTGCAAAATTCTACCTTATGGTAGAGTTCCAGCATTATTTCTGTCACCAAGGCCAAATTTTCCAACTACCGGTGATTCTTCTTTGTTTCCAACTTTTGCATTCCAGTCACCAGTGATAATTAACATATCCTGATTGCATGTTTGGTCAATTTCAGACTGTAGAAGCTGATAAAATTCTTCAATTTCCTCATCTGTGGCTTTGGTGGTTGGGGCATAAATTTGAATAACAGTCATATTAACGGGTCCTCCTTGTAGGCGTATGGATATTATCCTATCACTGACAGCACTGTATTTCAGGACAGATCTTGAAACATCTTTTGTGATGATGAATGCCACGCCATTCCTTTTCAAACTGTCATTCCCGGCATAGTAGATCATATGGTTGTCTGATTCAAAATGGCCAAAACCAGTCCATTTCAGATCACTAATGCCGAGGATGTCAATCTTTATGCATTCCATTTCCTTTTTGACAACTTCCAATTTTCCTAGATTCATACTTCGTACATTTCATGTTCTGATGATTAATGGATGTCTGCGGCTGTTTCTCTTCAATTTGAGTGGTGCCACATCAGCAAATGAAGGTCTCAAAAGCTTTCTCTTTTCCACATGAGTAAGGCTGGGTTTACTCAGATGTTGCAGCTCTTTCCCAGTCCTATTTTGAGAGCCTTTTAGCCTAAACGGACTATTCCTAAAGGTGCGCGGTAATGTACCAAACAGTGTTTCTTTGCTATTCATAAGGTTTTCCCTGGCCAATTCTTTGAGAATTGGTTGGCTTCTTCTTTTTTCTTGTTTTTTTTCGTTTTTTAGGTTGGCTGTTACTTGTGCACCAGGTGCATCTTGCTGGGTTTTAAACACCAGAGGCTCAGCCTCAAAACTCATGTCTACATGTCACCACAGTAGGACAAACCAACAGACAAGTCTGTCTTGCTGTTGGAGACCTCTCGTATCACCCCCACCTGGGTCCCTGTGGCTGACTGTTCCTGGCTTTTAATACCCTTTCTCCTGCTCTTCTGGCCTGTTGCTTTGGGCGTCCCTGAGTTGTCTCTCCTCACCTGTATCCCTGGGGCTTACAAAAACATACAGTGTATGGTATAAAACATAGACAGGGTGAAACTAAACTAAATTTGACTTTTTCAAATTACTTCAATCAAGTCTCTGTTTTTTATGTAAGAACAGAGAATTATGAATACTGACAGATGATTCTTATGCCTATTAAGTGATGTACGTATGGTTTCTCTATGCCTAAATAATTATTATTTTAGCTAAGAAAATCATTAGAGGATGGTGGTGATACAAGATCTACAAATGTGCCAAGTAATTTTTCCTTTGAACCAGAATAAATAAGAGAAACACTGGGAAATATGCCATTACATCAGAATCAAATTCTTCCTCTTCACATACTCTAATTTAACTCTACACACGTATGTGTATCCAAATAGAACAGAAACAACCACGTAACCCACACAGATATATTTAAGTAGGAAATCTATAGTAAATTAGTATTAATTCATGTAAGTTTATGAATGAATTCGTGATATTAATGCAAAGGTATAAAACATTGATCAGCTTCATTTCTCTCACATTCTCAATAGTCCAGTATTACTTCAAATTCAAACTTTCACACAGGAGAAAAAAAAGATCTGAAGATAAACCATGTAACACATACGAGCTGCATGAGATTTTCATTGTTTTAAATTGCTAATTTTGCAGTGAGGGGAAAAACACATTATTAGTGTTAAATTCTAGAAGTGATCATTTCTGCAAAGAACGAACTAGTCAATGTCAGTCAGCATGACCATTTTCTCATTTCTAAGGTTTATCAAATTGGGATTACTTTTTCCAGAAGTTATCTTTTCTCTATCTTTTTTCAAGTGGGAGCTCTGGTAGCATAGTGGCTAAGGCATTTCACTGCTAACCAGAAGGCTGGCGGTTCAAACCCACCAACCACTCCTCGGAAGGAAGATGGGGCAATCTACTTCTGTAGTGATACTGCCTCGAAAACCCAAGGAGGGGTCGCTATGAGTCGGGTCCGACTCTACAGCACATAACAACAAAAACATAATCTTTTTAAGTTACAATAACTTTTGTGCACCTACACTTATAAATGGTAATTTCTACCATATTACAAGTCAGATGTTATCTTTTTTCTTTTTCCTAATCTTTATTACCTGGTTTTCTATATGCTTAAAAATCAAACAAAACAGAATAGAAAAAATATTTAGTACAAATCCTCAAAATCCTACCCTCTGTAAATAATCATTATTAATAACCTAGAATATATCCTTTCAAACCTTTGTATAAATACACAATCATGTGTGTGTTGTATTTTTAAAAATATTAAACAGAAATGGGCCTTAATGCATCTCCAGGCTTCTGCATTGGCCTTAAAGATTAAAGATTAAAAATACATTGGCCTTAAAGATGTCACATCTACTAGTTATGTCTAATTGCCAAATCCCGAGACTGGGTCAGACCATATACAGAATGGATTATTATTATTAATTGTAACTACTTTTTCACTGAGCTCCAACATGGTTAGGCTCTTTACACACATGGTGTTATGTAATCACAGGAACCCTATAAAGAAGGTATTACTTTACACCACTTCAAAGGTAGGGCCTAAGAATCTGGGGTTTTGAGGATTTAAGGAACTTGCCAAGATCACTTAGACAGAAGATGGCAGAGCCCAGGATATGACTCTATGTGTTTACCTGGTTAAACACCTAAACTCTTGACCATTATGTTAATCTAAGTACTCTTGGATTGTTACTCTGTAATGAAAATATCTTTTTTCCCCTAAGTTTCACATTGTAGGGGTAAATAATAATAAAACAATTTCATAGATTGCTATGGAAGTTTAAGTAAGTAATTAATTTTTATGTTCCCTGTTAGATTAAGTGGGTGAATTATATCTATACGGTTCACTACTGTGCTTCCCCACCTTTCGGGTAAATATGTGTGTAGTAAGTATCTGATGAATGAACATTTTCTTTTTTATCCTCACAAAAATGCTATGTGGTAGCAAGTGAACCAATCAGATTTCTAACATAACAATCCTATAATGCAAGCACAAAAGCATAATATATACACACTTACCATTATTAGGTATAAGTTCCATATCCCAAGGACTCATCTTTTCCGTGTCTCCATTGTCCCAGCTTAAAGGGGGGAAAAATCCTTACATTAAAAAATCTAAATATTATATTGAAATATAAAAAATTCCATTATTAAAATAATTTCTTTAGTATTTATAAAATGTCTTCATCATTTTATTTACAGATAGAAAAATATTTCAAGTAAGCCAATGTGAACTAAACTATAACAAATACTTCCTTACCAAACATTATAGCACTGAAATAGACTATCAGGGTACTCAGGTTGAAGAGGTTCCTGGCTTTCAATTGTGCCAAACCACCAGGCATCATCTATGACTGATCTGAAACGGTCACCTAGACAAGAACAAATGCCATCTCATTACTCTGAAGTCTACTGCTGCTTTTGTTACTGTTTTTCCTGCAAGTATTCCTTTGAAATATGTAAACTGTTTAATAAGAAAATTTGAAATATTAAGTGACATACCAGCTTCCAGTTTCACTTCTTTGTTACATTAGGATACGATGAAATTCACTTTTTTTAAAAAAAAATCCAATCTAGTATTTTAAATTCACCATTAGCACTATCTTCAAATTACTTAAAAAATCAATTTTAGATAATTTCTGCTCAACCAATATTAGTATTCTGACTTCTTATTTTCTATAAGCAAGCTTTTGCAACAAATAATCAAGATTCCACCCTTAAAACCAAAAATATTAGACGAGCCTTCCTTCATCCCAATCATTCCTAAGTTTTAACACTCATACACACACTCTCTTTTCTTTAAAATTGAAAAAGTAAAATAAAAAAGAAAAACAACTACAGGTAGTCCCTGACTTAGGACGTATTCATGTTTCAATAAATTGCACTTAGGACCATCTGTTATTTTTTTTTTTTGGGCCGGGGGTGGTGGTGTGTGGCAGTGGGTATGCATCTCATTGTTGAAGAGCTTTGGTGGTGCAGTGCTAAAGGCATTTGGGTGGTAACAAAAGGGTCAGTGGTTCCAACACATCACCCGCTTCACAGAAGAAAAATGAAGCAGTCTGCTTCCGTAAAGATTTATAGCCTTGGAAACCCAATGGGGGTTGCTAAGAGTCAGAATTAACTCAGCGGCAGAGTGTTTGGTTTGGTCTTATTGTTAGTAATAAAGTGGCAGAGTGTTTGGTTTGGTCTTACTGTTAGTAAATAGTAGTAAAGTAATAAATTATGCTGTGCATAATTTGCTGATGTTATCATTCTCAGATGTTTACCTGCAGATATTCAATGTTATGATTTATTGTTCAAAATACTGCCATGTAGCAGGCTATGGGGCGGGGAGAGGTATTCCAGTTACATCAGAACCAACTTATGACAGAGTCATCTGAATGGAACCCCATCGTCAGTCGAGAACTAATTGAAATTGTAGTAAAACAGATCACATTCCTCATGTCTATTTCCCTATGCCACTGCGTTCAGGTGTTATCATATTAATGCAACCGCTTTCTCCAAAGACCCAAATAACTACAACCAATACAACTTTTACTTTACAATGCTTTTCTACCTTGCCTTTCACAGTACTCTTTCTCCTGGCTAGCTGAGGTAGAGTCTGAACAACTTGGGTTCTATTAAAGTATCTGTGTGCCTTTAAATAAATTAATTATTTTAGAGCTCCATTTTCCTCATGTGTAAAATAGTAATGGTGAGTGATATCTACCTCATGGCAATTTTTGAGGAGTGCCTTCTATTAAGATACTATTTACATTTTAAACTTAAGAGTTAAGGAAAAATGAGTCAAGCTATCAACTACCTGCACCAACTCATCTCAATCAATTTTATCTTCAAACTCATAAGAAAAAGTATGTACTCTCATTTTTACCAAAAAATATTTTTAAACAAAAAGTAAGTTTAATGATTAGGGAAAATAACCACAGTAGGAGCCAGGAGTAAGTTAATAACCACATGCTGTTGAGTTCCATATTTTTTAGTGGGTGAACACTGGTCCAACCCTAGATTTAAGCATTTTAACAGTCAATGGTAAGAAGCACACATGCTCTATTACTAGACTGAATCTAACTGTCCCTCCTATCACCTGTCAGTTTGTCTTACTGTGGTGACTTGTGTGTTGCTACGGTGCTGGGAGCTATGTCATCGGTATTTCAAATACCAGTAGGATCACCCATGGTGGACAGGTTTCAGCAAAGCTTCCAAAACTAAGACAGGCAAGGAAGGCCTGGGGAGCTGAAAATTAGCCAATGAAAACCCTCTGTCTGGATCACAACAGAGTATCATTGCTTTAGACACATCATCAAGACTAACTGCTGAAAGGAATCATCATGTTTGGTGAAGTGGAGGCTCTTAATGAGAGAGATTGAACAGTGGCCCCAACAATGGACTCAAAAGTGCCAACAATCATGTGAATGGCATGAGAGCAGGCAGTATTTCATTGTGTCATATATAAGGTCACCAGGAGTTGAAGCCGACTAAATGAAAATTAACAATTATTCCTCAGATGCATAAATATTTGGGACATTAAGCTTAAAGAGGAGACTCTATAACTTAATAACCATTCTTGACAACACCACAACTTTACAGTAAATGTAATGATGAGTTTCACAGAGCTGTTTCTTATGACTAAACACAGACTGATGGTATTATGTTGAAGAGAAATGGATCATAAGTGCATAACCACACTGAACATTATCTGCAGAATGACAAAGAAGCTAACCAAGGAATGGAGTTTATCAATCAGAGTAAGCCTAAACCATTTCTGGGGACAAGCCAAAGTAAAAAATACTACTAATGTAATTTTAAATGGCCATTTGTAAGCAGATGCATATATCCTCAAAAAGAAAAGACCAAGTATATACTAACTTTAGAATAACTATTAATCTAGAAAGAAAAATAGTTAAGATCCAAATGAGATAATCCTGTTTTCCATTTGAAATATCTTTGTTTTTGCCCAATGCTTGTCACATTTCTTTTCCTAGGTTATTATCAGCTCAGCATAGGCCACAAGTGGCAAAAAGAGTTAAGTGCTCCACTAGCAGCCAAAAAGCTGTGGGGTTCAAACCCACTTAGAGACAACTCAGAAGGCAGACCTTGCAACCTGCTTCCAAAAGGTCACACAGCCTTGAAAACCCTATGGAGCAGTTATAGTCTGTACTTACGGGATCAAAATGAACCAAAACTGACTTAACAACAGTAATGACAATTATCAGCTAACTACTGGAATATTCTGATCTCTAACATTTGTTCTGCAATTTACTGATAAATGAATGTCTTTAAAAAAAAAAACCAAACTGATTTTATCAGGCAGCATATGCAAACAATTTTAAACCCCCAAATGTACCGAAAGGTCATAATGAAAAACAAAAACACTTTCAAATCTTAGCTATATCTTTTTGGATGTATCTATAAGATTTCTAAATGATACCATTTCTTTCTTATATTATTTTGTTTTTTCTAAAATTAGCAACTGCTTTGTTTTTATGTTTGATTTTCTCTGAATTTATCATTAAGTCCTCTCATATTCTCTTATAATTCAAGCTCTAAAATATTCCTCAATGTAATTCCCACAAAGGCAAACTTGTTAGATAATCTATCAGTTCAATTTCTTTTTTTCTGATAGACTTCTCTTTTGGAGTACAATGTTTCTAGACTGGTTGGGTCCTAGACTTGCTCGACACTATTTCTGAAACTTTTGTTAACTGTTAACTGGAATTCTTTCTGCCTCTTTCCTGTTCTGATCGCCTGTTTACTAGGATTTTGCATGTCTTTTTAGGTTTACACCCTTATCTTTCAAACCTTCCAGAGAAATGATACATGGGATGCAATTTTTTTTTGATAACTCAGATACCCCTTATTTTGATATAACCTTTATTTCCCTGATTTCTTTTTTTAGAGCTTACATGCAAACATCAAAGTTTATCAAGATCAACCTAAGAAAACAAATCATTACGCCAATGCTTTCAAATGACACTGAAAGGATGGACCAGTAGATCAACTAATGTGCTTTTTAAAACCATGTATATGCCATATACATACACGTCTGACTCCAAAATGAGAAAGTTACTCCATTTAAAATTTTTAAGAAAATTACTCTACCAAATTCACATCCAGCTGTACATAAATACATAAATCTTAAATGCCTAGAAATTTGTTTATAGTATTAATTTTAAAGGTATGTAATAGGGTTATGAATCAAAGAAAAATGTGAGTTTAACTTTAGCCCAAATAATAAAACATTTTGAATTAGAAGACTTATTTTGATTTTAATTTGAATTCAGCTACATATGTTTTTGAGTATGTAAAAATTTAACTTAGCATGTAAAATAGCTGAAAGGAAAAGCTTAAAATGATCACAGATAGTTACGAAACATAACAGAAAAAATGTTTAGGATTTAAAAATATCTGACACATGCTATTACATTCCTACAAATGACAAAAAGACTTCATCTTTTTCTAAATTATGATAAACAGTAAATAATTTTCATAGTAAATAAAAAACAACATGTCAAACATCTACAGCTTCTAAAGAACTTACTTACCTATATTCCACCGCCTGTATTTTGCATCATCAAACTGCTGTCTCAAGACTAGGAAATCTATAACATCAGGCATATCATGGTATCTAATTACAAATAAAAACAACTGATTAGCTCAAATATCTAACAATATCTAAAAGATGATCAAATTTATCTGAATTTTGAAAAAAAATCCTACAATACAAAGAAACCACTGCCTTGTGTTCACTAGTCCTTACTTCATTGTAAATGATCCGCCAGTCAGTTTACCAGTATCAGGATCGAGAAAAGCAAGTTTAAGGCAGCAAAGGGTAGGCAATCCCACTTCATACTTTATGCCAACTATTTTCATCAGCTCTTGTTCCTAAGACACAAAAAATAAGAAGCCATGTTTACAAAATAAAGTACTAAACAATATAATGAAGGAAAACATTTCTTGGTTTTAATCTTGATCTGGATGATGATGACTTTATGTGCATGTAAAATTCACTGAGCTGTATACCTAAAAGATTTTTGCACTTTACTGTATCTAAGTTATACCGCCAATTATAAAACAAAGGAAAACAAAAATAAAAACTTTACCAAAGTAAGTTTTCCAACACAACTCCAAAGATCTTTAATTTTAAATTACTGATAAATCTAGGAATACTAAAATTGCAAATATGAAGGTTACCTTAGAAAGTGTTGTCTAACTTTTATTATACACCCACTCCTCACTTAATGGGCACGATTAGGTTCCAAAGACCAGGTCATTAAATGAAAACTGGCTTTATGTGGAAATGGACTATGATCTTACCAGATCACAAAATGGTGGATGACTATATCATTACATAACTGTCAAACCACTCAAAATCACTGCCTAGACAAGCTGACACATAACTTAACCACCAGAGTCAGTGTTACTTACTCTCACCTTGCATCTTAGCATTTATTACTGCCAGATGTATGTTATTAATGTGCAAATGAGAATAGTTAATAACTGAGGAGTAGAGTATAACTAACTACATTTTGTACCCAATTTATAAACTGTATCGGGTTACGAATTTCCAACTTATGGACAACTCCTACTTGCCCTTTAACATAGTGCTTCTAATTGATTCTGTCATGGACAACAAATTTAAACAGGAACAGACTGGCAAATCTGGGTGATTTGTCATGGTAACTGTTACATGAAAAATTATGGGTCAAAACACTGGAATGGGAGACTCAGAAAAGGCCTAGTGAGCCTTCTAAGGAGCTTGATACATTGACACTAGATTATTGGTAGGACCATGGAAAACCATATACATACAAAATCATGTGGCTGGCTGCCATTTTTGAAGCCCTGCTTTCATGTTATATATAAATTTGCCCTTACTTTGAAACAAGCGAACCAACCCCTAACTTACAAGATACTCTTTACCACAATCATCTTCACTTGCTTCATGTGCACTTTTTAATCACTGGAAAGACTTTAGCCATTTTTGTACTAAAGACTAAATAAGAACCATACGTACCTGTTTTGATGGACCTACAAACTTTTAAAGACAGAGTGTTTATAACCTGGGGAATGCCTACATATGAATTTAGTCTACCTTGTATTTCTTTCACTGAAAATTAAACACCTCTACTCCTCAAGACTGCTTCAATTAAAAAAGCTATCTTCATGACATACAGTTTACAGTAGCACGACACAATTTTCTCCATAACATATCTTTTTGAATTATTAATTAATAATAAACACTATACCCGTAGTTCCATTTTATGCCATGGCTGCTTTTTTGGATTGATACTATAAATTTTATTTTTCCGGGCCATTTCAACATATGCTTCATGTCCTTGTCGGAAATAATAAACCTAAAAAGTAAATAAAGTCACAATGTAAAAACTGAATGCATTTCCTTTAATCTAGCTATTAAGTGTAAAGAAACTAATGTCCTTTAATCTAAAAGCAATTCTAATATTTTAGTATTTTCTTCCTTTCCTATAGTTGTCTAAATGACTTAATCAGAATATTCAAAGTAAAATAGCCGTTATTTTCACTGACATTGTATTTTTTGGTTTCACTATTTTATGCTTGGATCAATATAAGTTAGTCTATGTTGCATAATAAAGTGAATTGTAACTTGTTAGTTGCTGTCATGTCGGGCTCCAACTCATGGTGACGTTATGTATAACAGAAAATACAATGTCCGGTCTCTGCCATCTTCATGATCACTGTTAAGTTTGTGTCCACTGTTGGGGCTGTTGTGTAAAGCTCTCATTGAGGGTTTCCCTTGTTTATGCTGAACCCTCTACACTACCTAATATCATGTCCTTTTCTTTTAGCAATTGGTCTTTCTTGATATGTCACAGAAAGTTGAGCCACCATGCCTGCTTCTAAGGAACAATGTATTTCTTTCTATGATTGATTTGTTTCTTCTTCTGGCAGTCCATTGTATATTCAATATTCTTAGCCAATATCACAATTCAAATGCATCAATAATTCTTCTTTCTTTTTCACTGTCCAGGTTTCACATGGGCATGAGGAGATTAAAAAGACCATAGCCTGAATCAGGTGCATCTTAGTCCTCGAAGTGACATCTTTGCTCTTCAACACCTTAAAGAGGTCTTTTGCAGCAGATCTGCCCAATGATGTCATTTGACTTCTTGACAGCTACTTCTGTGGGCATTTACTGTTGATAAAATAAAATGAAATCACTGAAATTTTATTTTTCTCCTCCATTTAACATGATGCTGTTCATCAGTCCAGTTATGAGGATTTTTGTTTTCTTGATGTTCAAATGTAATCCACAGTGAAGGTCTTTGACATTCATCGGTAAGTGCTTCAAGTTATCTTTTTAGGAAAGTAAGGTCATGTCTTCTGTGTATCACATGTTGCTAAAGAGTCCTCTCCGCTACTCTGATGCTGTGTTCTGCATATAGTCCAGTTTCTCACATTATTTGTTCAGCATACAGAGAGTAAGAGAAGGAAAAGATACAACTCTTGTCACACACCATTTCCAATTTCGAACCATGCAATAACCCATTGTTCTGTTTGAAAGATTGCCTCTTCATCCATGTACAGGTTCCACAAGAGCACGATTAAATGTTATGGAATTCCTATTCTTCACAGTATTATTCATAATTTGTTATGATGCATACAGCTGAATGCATTTGCACAGTCAATAAAACACAGTTAAAAAGATCCTTCTGGTATTTTCCTCTGCTTCCAGCCAAAACTTATCTGACATCAGCAATGATATACCTCATTCCATATCCTCTTATGAATCTGGCTGGAAGTTCTGACAGCTTCTTGTCAATGTACAACTGTAGTTGTTTTTAAATTATCCTCAGCAAAATTTTGCTAGCATGTGATGTTAATGATATCGTTTGCTAATTTCTGCATTCTATTTGATTGCCTTTCTTTGGAATAAGCAAAAATATGCATCTCTTCTAAGTAGTTGGCCTAAGGGTCATGAAAAGTTTATTGTTCATGTACTTTTGTAGCAAATTGTTTTTGCAGAAAACTTGAAAATGGATGTTGTTGAACATGTATTTTATCTCATTTGAACCATACACAAATCTTGATAACAGAGCATATATTATACATTTACATGAATTGGAATGTTAAATGCAAATTTTAAAGGCTGACTACTATGCTTTAGAACTAGTATATTAAACACAGGTAATCTGGCACAAAGCATTCTTCTCATTATTAAAAATTAGTAGTTTGTTAAGAAAAATGATGTTAAGTTCATAATAACATGTTGGGATATCATATGTACTTTTATTCTATGCATCAGTATCATGGTTGTGTCACCTGTCTGACTACAATTAAAAAATGGTACTTAATAAAGATGACTTACCTATTTAAGCACCAGCAATTTTTAAACAGTTAGTTAATTTTAAAAGAAATCAAGCAGTAAGAAATTATACTTTCTGGTCACCTTGAAATAATAATAATAAATATAATTTAATCACTTCTTGATGATGTAGGATCTGTAACAATCTACCATTGTATTATGCTATTGTAAGTTGCCAACAAGCTGAATACAGTAATGCTGTGTACTTTTAAAATCTACTAAATCAAACAGGTCTCTAAATGACTGTGCTTTCTGAGTCACTTGTGCATTGAAATTTTCTGTGTTCTTTTACCATCACTTGCTGTTTTATATGGACAATTAGTGAGCTTTGCTAAAAAGGCCTCTATCCACGTAACTCTGTTTCTTAACATCTCTGTATAAAATTAGGAAAAAGGAGTCCTGAGTGTGAACTTTTGATCCAAGTTCTAACCTTTTCATTTCAAACTTACAAGTACATAGTCTAAAACCCCAAAGCCATAGAGTCGATTCCGACTCACAATGACCCTCATTGGGTTTCCAAGGCATAAGATGGTGTCAATTATTTTCTTAAAAATTAAATATTACTGAAAAAATATAATACATTACTTTTAAGACCTGACAAAAAATATGACCATCTGGGGGTATATAAATGAAATATTTTCAGAGAATAAAATGCTGAATTTCATTCTGCCTTCAACATACCATATTCTGATGTCTTACACTAAGAAGAATATATTTTAATTTAGGAAGAAAATTAAAAGTCAATAAACTCTCTTTAAGAAAAATACTAGTTTTTAAAATGTCAAGAAATTTTCTATTCTCACACCAATATTTAGATTTAATATGCTAATATTTATGTTGTTGTTGTTGTTATGTGCCGTCGAGTCAAACCCGACTCATAGCGACCCCTCCTTGGGTTTCCGAGGCAGTATCACTACGGAAGTAGG